CCCGTCTTAAGACGGGACGTATTATGTTATAGGTTTCATGTCCGTCCGTCCGTCCGTCCGTCCGTCTGTCTGTCCATTCCTGTCCGGCTCATAACTTCAATACTATTAGGCCTAGGATTATCAAACTTTGTCAACTGATACTTCTTGGGTAGACGGTGTGTCGCGCGCATAGGTCGCTATGACCTTTAATTAAGATGCTATGGCCAAATATGGAAAAATCCTGTCCGGCTCATAACTAGTAAACTATTAGACCTAGAACTATCAAACTTGGGAAATGTATACATCTTGGGTAGAAGGTGTGTCGCGACTATTTCAAGGTCACTGTGACCTTTAATTTAAGTGAATTTTTTAAAAAACTAAGTTTTTTAAATTTTGAATTTCATAATCCTAAAAAATGTAAAGATATAGTTGTATCCTTATTAAAAAAGTGTTAAATCAAGAAAATACTTATTTTTTTCAGCATATACTTGACAGCAATCTATGACAAATATATTAATGTATGTTAGAAGAAATCCCATGTCTCCCATGAGTGTAATTATCAAGCACTGGTCAAGAGTTTTGATAACAGAAAGTTGCATGTCAAATTAGAGAGAAATTAATGAGTTTAGTGTGAGGAGCTAATTGGAGAGCATCGGTGTTATATATATCCCTTTGGGAATTAAGGCAGATGGGTAATCCTGTTGGATTAAAAATACCTCGTGTTGGCTAGCCAAAGTTTTAAAATGAATTTGATGAAAAGTAATTTACACTAATTTGATTTTGCATAATAAACTGATATGATATATAATATTATTAATTTAAAGAACTAATTTCATAGGATTGGAGTCAGCATGTCCATTTTCCATAGAAATCGCATATTAAAATCTTTCTGACATTAAATGTAAAAAAAAAAAAATCATTGAGTATTTTATATATTTTTAAAAATATTTTATGGAGAGTTCAGATTCATTCATCTATAGTAATGAGTAGACGAGCATCCAGTCAAAGATTAATTAATGAGTTCAATTTAGGAAGGCTAGCCAGCATCTTCTTATCTGTTACCCTTTGGGAATTAGACAGAAGAACTGCTGGTCAGTTGAAATAGCATATGTCATTTGATGGCCAGCCTTTTATTTTAAAAATTAATTTGGTATAGATTAAGTTGTTAAGACTACCGGTAATTTGATATTGTTTAATATGATGGGCATTTGACAAGGTCTAATACAACCAGTATAGAAATCTATCAATGATGCTATGATTAATGCCTACACCACAGGGGATGGATAAACAAATATTTTAAGGAATAGAAAAAATTATGGAAATTTTAGAATCAAGGTTGACATGATTTTCTTGCACTCTAAACCATTCAAGTTAATTTTAATTTTTTGACGGGCGTATCATGCTGTGGCGTGGCACTTTATTTTATATGACAGAGGTAATTTTTGAAAATATTTATGAAGCCCATTTTTACTTTCAATGACTGCATTTTATTGCTACAGATCAGCTTTACAACTTAAATTACACAAATTAAAGGAGATTATAATCTATTTGAAAAGAATTATGATTAGTGAAGGTGAAGCTTTCTCAAATGCAGATCAGATATGTTGGTACCTAAAGTTACCCCCCCCCCCCCCCCCCCAAAAAATGATGCCTATCAATTTTGCAATGTGACTTAAATTCAATCTAACATCATCAGTGATTATTTTTTGAATTTTCGCAAAAATTACATTGGTTGTTGGAAGTATTTGTCGCCAAGGACAGTACCAATTTTTGATGCACATTATATCATTTCTGTTCTTTGAAATCCACCTGCTCAAGTGTCTATAAAACAGACATTAGTTGATGTAAATTTCACATATTTTAGGGAATATTTCTTTGGAATTCTTAAGGCCTTTTCACAAGAAATACAAATGTGAAAAATAAAACCCTAGCACCACCTGTTAAAAGGTTATGACCAAGGTTAAATTTTTAAAGGTAGGACAGACTCTGGGATCAAGGTCCAAGGGTCAAGGTTGTTGGTTTCTGAAGAAAGGCCTTGTGTCAAAGATTACATATTAGAAGTATGAAAGCGCTGGTCCTTACCATTCAAAAGTTATAGCCAAGGTTAAAGTTTGTAAAAAGTAGGTCAAACTCCAAGGTCAAGGTCAAAGGGTCAAGGTTTTTGATATCCAATGAAAGGTCTTGTCACAAGGATTACATTTGTGAAGTATAAAAGCTCTATCCCTTACCGTTCAAAAGTTATGGCCAAGGTTAAAGTTTTTTTTCATAAGTACGGAAATGTCCAAGGTCAAGGTCACAATTGTTGGTTTCAGTTGAAAGGTCTTGCCACAAAGAAATGATATTTGAAATATGAAGTTCCTAATATTTAAAAATTTGGGCCAAAGTAAAAGTTCGGATTTTTTGTGTGTACTAATGGGTCAAACTCCAAGGTCAAGGTCAAAGGGTCATGGTTCTTGATATCAAATGAAAGGTCTTGTCTTGTCTTCAAGGATTAAATATGTGAAGTATGAAAGCCCTAGTGCTATCCCTTTAAAAAGTTTGGTCAAGGTTGTATTTTTAAAGTAGGTCAAACTCCAAGGTCAAGGTCAAAGGGTCAAAGTTCTTGGTATCCTATGAAGTGTCTTCTTACAAGGATTACATATGTGAAGTATAAAAGCCTTAGCCCTTACAGTTCAAAAGTTATGGCCAAGGTTAAAGTTTTTTTATAAGTATGGAAATCTCCAAGGTCAAAAGGTCAAAGTTAATGGTACTCAATAAAAGATCTTTTTAAAAAGAATACATATATAAAGTATAAAAGTCCTGGTATCTACTGTTCAAAAGATATGGCCAAAGTAAAAGTTTGGAAATTTTGTGTCAAAGTAGATCAAACTCCAACGTCAAGGTCAAAAGGTGAAATTTGGTGGTACCCAAAGAAAGGACTTGTCACAAAGAAAAATATATATGAAATATGAAAGTCATAGCTCCACTAAATCAAAAGTTATGGGCAAGGTTAAAGTTTTTGCAGACAAACAGACAGACAGAGAGACAGACAGACAGCTAGACAGACAGACGGACACGACAAAAATTATATACCCCCGAAACTTCGTTTACGGGGGGCATAATAAATAAATAATGGACAGTCTGTCCTGCTGATACTTTACCTAAACAGGTGCTTGTCCACAAACAGTACTGTGTTAGATCCACAGGCACTTGTTTTGGAAATAATTTTTAACCTATAGTTGAATAATAACACAAGGTATCTAACTCCGAATTACACTCAGTACCTCCCTCCTCAGAAACGCACTCATTTACAATTTCAGAGGAGATACAATGGCAATATGTTTATTATCATTGTCTATACGATAATTTATCTACACAACCATATATGACTTGCATGTCTTTGGTTTTGTTTATCTCCTAAACAGCGTACAACTCTGCTCACTGAGTGGAAAGTCAAACTAAACTATGAAACGGTATGTGCTAATCCCGCACAGAGATTTTGATTGGCTAAAAATCTGCATTTAAAATTACATTGATAATATGTGGTAGTGTTTTTATGGAAAATGAGACATAATCAAATTTTATTTATGCAATGCAATATTTAAAATCTGGAATTGAATTTTTTAACCACCTCATTTTTTAATTTTCGTTTTTGCCCAAGATTAGCACATACCATTTTGTGGTTTAGTTCGACTTTTCCACTCAGCCAGCAGGGTTTTGACGCTGTTTATGAAAAAAGACATGCATGCTGCATATGGTTGTGTAGATAAATTATCGTATAGACAATGATAATAAAGATATTGCCATTGCATTTCCTCTGAAATTTTAAATGAGTGCTTTTCTGAGGAGGGGGGTATTGAATGTAATTCGGAATAAGATACCTTTATTAGTACTATGGTTTAAAATTTTATTTCCAAAAAAGTGCCTGAGGTTGGATCCCCTTACACCAAACAGGTGCTTGTCCACAAATAGTACTGTGTTACCTCCTCTTACACCAAACAGGTGCTTGTCCACAAACAGTACTATGTTACCTCCCCTTACACCAAACAGGTGCTTGTCCACAAACAGTACTGTATTACCTCCCCTTACACCAAAAAGGTGCTTGTCCACAAACAGTATTGTGTTACCTCCCTTTATACCAAACAGGTTCTTGTCCACAAACAGTACTGTCTTACCTCCCCGTACACCAAACAGGTGCTTGTCCACAAACAGTACTGTGTTACCTCCCCGTACACCAAACAGGTTCTTGTCCACAAACAGTACTGTGTTACCTCCCCTTACACCAAACAGGTGCTTGTCCACAAACAGTACTGTGTTACCTCCCTAGTGGACATTACATGATCATTGGATTTTCTGTCTGTGGTGGTCAGTACATGATCATTGGATTGTCTATCTGAAGTGTGTCTGCTATGACACATTCACTGACTGCCCGGCAATACACATAACAAACGTAAGGTTATAGCTCCTAATCATCATAAAACGTCCATGTTAACCGGACGTTGACTGTGATATATTGGGTAATATTTTGTTATTATTCGTCTCTCTCTCTTTCGGTCCTCATGCAGTGTTCTGTAAATGATAAATATGACATGAAAGGAATAGCTCATAAATAAATGCTGTTCAAGTGTATTTATCTTTTTTAACATTTTCATTGCGGAACTAGATTTGACTAATTTTCATGTACATGTACCATCTTTTTCCAAGTAATATTTTTTTTTACTTTTAAATACAAGTCAGTTCCTTTATCCATTGGCTTTTAAGGGCACTTACAGAAATTAAAATAATTATGTTAATTAGAATGTAAAAGGATCTTATGCCCAGCATTAACTTTTAAACTTAATCCATTGTCCATTTTAAATGTATTCTTATTTTTTATATGCCAGATATTGTGGTTTTGCGATACAACTGATGAGCTACTTGATGCAAACTTGACAGATAGAAGTTAATACTTAAACAACAACTACATCCTGTATTTAAATTGTCATCATTTTTAGAGTGCATTTATTAAATTGTAATTAATTTAAATATTCTTTTTTTTTCAGAGTTAAACAATGAGCAGCCCAGAGTGGATGGTAAAGTTATACAACAATAACGCCACTGAAAACAATGAGGATTTTAACATAAGCCCTAGATAGGATGAATCTATTACGGATCACAGTCTCTCTGTTTGGTGCTGTGTTTTTGATTCTTTTTTGGTGCGATGGGTGTGGCTCTCTCCAGATTTCCTCAGGTGGGGATTTGAACCTTGTTGTCAACAAAATAAGAGGTCAGCTTTTACTGAGGCATTTAGGATTCAAACCTGGAAGATATGCAAGGGATACCTTTAATGCAGAAGTGAATGTTAGTGAAAGCTATCAAAGGTTAAATGGAACAGTTGTTTCAAATAGGACAGAAAATGTAACTAAAACTGAGTCAGTTTCTGTGCTAAATTCAACTTTAGTTCCAACATCAGAACCTGAGTCCACACCTGAGCCAACAAGAAAGAGTGAGCCAGAACCAACCTATGAACCAAGTTCAACTTCTGAACCTGTAGTAGAACCAAAGACAACAGCTGAAATTTTAAGTGAGCCACATTCCACACCAGAACCTGCGCCTGAAACCACCTCAGAACCAATTCCTGAACCAGAGGCATCCCTAAAAACAAAAAGTGAGCCTGAACCATCACCCAAGATAAACTCAACAGCAGAGTCTGTTTCAGAGCCGACATCTGAACCTAATCCATCTGCAGAGCCAGAGACTACAAGTGAACCTAAGCCTTCACATGAGCCAGTATCTACAGCAGAACCAAGTGTAGAACCTAAGCCAACACATGAACCTAAATCCACAGCAGAGCCTGTAAGTGAGCCAGAGTCAACAGCAGAACCAGTTCCAGAGCAAACTTCTGAACCAACTTCAGAACCAAGATCAACAGCAGAGCCAACTAGTGAACCTGTTGTAACACCTGAACCTAATCCAGAATCAAACACTTCACCTGAACCAACCTCTGAGCCAGAGTCAACAGCAGAGCCAACTAGTGAACCTGTTGTAACACCTGAACCTAATCCAGAACCAAACTCTTCACCTGAACCAACATCAGAGCCCAAATCTACAGCAGAGCCTGAGCTAACACCAGAGCCAAATCCTACAAGTGAACCAGAAATAACACCAGAGCCAGAGGTAACTTCTGAGCCACACCCTGAGCCAAATGCAACAGCAGAGCCTACAGGTGAACCTGTTTCAGAACCAACTGGAGAACCAGAACTGGTCTCTGAACCAACACCAGAAGCGGAATCATCCTCACCTGAACCAGAAGTTGAGCCAGAACCCGAGGCTGAGGGGGCAGCCTTTGCAGAGCCTCATCCAGTATGGGATGTGGCTATGAAAGAATGGCAATGGGGCTGGGAAATTCTTGTGTATTTCTTTGCAGCTTCGTTTCTACTTATTGCTCTCTTGAGCCTGCTAAGTGTTATAAGACTATGGAAAATAAAGCATTTGCTGAGTAAAAACTACTTCATGGTGCTAAACATTTTAATCATCTTCAAATGTGTTCTTCGGGCATTATATTTACTGATTGATGCTTACAATGTGCGTGGAACCTACCATCCTGTGTTGGCATATTTTCTCTACAGTACTGCCTTTCCATGTTTAACATCAGCGTTTAGTATTCTGTTTTATGCATTACTTCTTGCGACCAAAATGAAAATGTTGTCTTCCAAAATACAGAAGTCCTCAGTGCTTATTGGTATAATTGCATTCCACTTCATTCTCTCCATTTCAACAGATTTTGTCGTGGGATTTTTTACGGACGCTAAAATCATGCTTTTAATTTGCCAGTCCTTTTATATTTTATGGGGAATTATTTTATTCTTGGGATATATTTTCATTTTCCGAAGATTGCGTGAATCAGCAATAAAACGCCGAAAAACGCTTAAGAAGCATTCAATTTCTTATCCCTCTGATATTTCAAGGAAGTCAGTAGTTAGTTCCATGGGAAGTCTTCCAAGACCGAAAAAATCCAGAAATAAATCGACGCTGAATTCTGCAATTACTGTGACACTGGTTGCCGCCGCCTGTGGATTATTCTGCATTATTTTAGAATTTTTTGGAATTTTTTATGTCTTTCGAATGTTCACAGATGGGTACGTACCCGAACCTTGGCCCTGGTATGTGCACCAGTTCCTTTTGCGTGTGTTCGAATTAATCATGTGTGCAATAATGGTATATGTTGGTTCGCAACCAATAAAATACAACCGGAGAAATGACTCGAAGCCTTGTTATCTGTTTTGTTTTGTATTGAAAAAGTGCTGCTGTTCTAGTCAAGAAAATTCTGAAAACGACCAAAACACCTCATTTGGAAGTTCTCACTTCAAGAGTTTCTCAGATAGTGAGTATGATTCAAGTGATGCTAAAAGTTCAAAGAAACAGAGTAAAAATGTGATGGTTGAACAAAATGGAAATGGTCCCCAGCCCTGTAAACATACCCACATCGTGATCGAAGAAGGACTCGTGAGATTTCGTAGTGAGGATGAGCTGACGGACGGGGTATCGGACCGCGCCTCAAGCTTGCCCGACCTCCTCCATGGCAACGCCGTTTCTACCACAAATACTGGTATGTGCAATATGGCGTTCAGTTCTAATGGCAATGTTCCTGCTACAAATACGCCATTGCACCGAACGAACACCGAACCTTCCGAGATGATGGAGAAAAACTTGGGAAGTGTGGGGACCATTGGAACTATAGGGGCCAATATTCCATCAATAAATCTCGCTCACAGCTTGCAGTGGGAGTTTGACAAAGCGTACGACCGCAGCTTTCAGTTGGCAGACGACAATGACGACAAGCCACCAACATACGGGGAGGTGGAGATGCAGGAACAGGATGTGGATCCGCCCACTGATAAATCGGAATCTTCTGAGACTGATGATTCCTGTGGGCCTGTGTCCCCCACCCGACGCCCCCTCATCACAGGCGAGGATTCGTCAGCTGATGTTAGTCTATGAATATATTTATATGTTAATGCCATGTGAAATTGATTTTTATTTCCCATTATTTATTGATTTGAAATGAGATTTTTGAAAGAATTTGTGTTTAGATCTACACATTTTAATATATTTTGTTAGTTTCTTTTTTCACGTAGTAAATACGTGTGTCTGTGTGTGTGTGTGCATATGTGTATTTGTTTTATTGTTAAATACTAAGTATGTCCATGCCATTTTAAATTGCATCCTATGCACTCATCTACATAAAGTCTTAAAATGTGTTACTTACAAGTTCATTCTTAATTAAGTGCACAATTGTTAACAATGACTTTAATAAGAACTTGAATTTGAAAGTGTTTTTTTTAAAATGTATACTAGAATTGACTTTTATTAGAAAAGTAATTTTGTATCTACCTATAACAAGATGCAATAAAAAGTAAGACAGGAAGTTAGTATTAATATTTAAATGATGTGAGAGTGTGAAAAAAGTAACATGAAAAGAAATATTATCTTTGTCATTCAAAACATGCAGAAAAATCTTCAGAATTAAAATGATATTAACTATGTCTTGTAGAATTTTCTTTCAGAATGCCTGGTGCTTAAAGACGATTTTCCAGAAACTGAAAACTTAATAACTACATGTATGTGATAGTTTTGATATTCAGTCAAGGCATATAAATATCGTTGTATCTAGAGAGGCACATGGGCCTTGACGCTAGCCGGACTGTATTGGGGTTAGATTCTCAAGCTATGGTCATACTGGCCAAACCTCTTCCTCTTTAATATTGTAATTTTATCTAGATCTATTTGTGCATGCATGGGTAAAGAAAACTAGAGTGTTCCAAGGAACAAATGTGTCGCCTGCTTTTAGCTTCTTTAAAGATGTAACAAATGTAAGAGTGGTCAGCTATTTATATGTTACTAGGAAATCAGGATTTCATGCAAAACAATCCAGTAGCATGATAGTTCATAAATGTACAAAATATCCGCACATAGTATAAGACTGTGATGGAGTCTGTCAATCAAAAAATATGATAACCATCTCTTAAATGAATAATTAAGTTGAAATCATTATAAATATTTTTTGATCATTTTAAAGTTTTAATACGTGTTTCAAAGTCTAGATAAATGTTATCAACACTCGCCACTCAAAAGTCATATTATCTGGGGTATTCTTTATGAAATAGGTCAAGGTCAAGTGAATTATAACGTTGGTATTTTTCACAATGTTTTAAGACAATCAGTGCACATGCTAAATAGCAGAGAATTACCGGTACCCCATATCATGAAAAAAAAAATATGCTGTATATTGGCACTTAATTAACTTTAAGTAAAGTAGGTCAAAGGACAAGGTCAAGGGTCACGAAGTCGGTAACCATGGCAATTTACACAAATTAATACCATAGTGCCAAGCAATAAATATGCAAAATACAAAAACAAGTCCATATTTTGATTTAGTGGAGCTCATATTTCAGTTCTTGAGATACAAGGTATGACACTTTTACACAAAAATTTCAAACTTTTACTTTGCCATAACTTTTGAATAGGTATAGTGATCCCTTAGTGAACATTGACAGACAGACAGACGCCGGGTAAAGTGATCCCTTAGTGAACATTGACAGACAGACAGACGCCGGGTAAAGTGATCCCTTAGTGAACATTGACAGACAGACAGCCGCCGGGTATAGTGATCCCTTAGTGCTGCTCTGCTCCGCAGGCGACACGAAAAAAATTGATTTTTTAATCATGTACATGTAAATATAGACTCCCCCCCCACTGGCATATGGCCCCACCCTGGAGGCATTTCATTGAAACTTTTGACCCTTTGATCTTGACCTGGGGCTACTTTTAAAAACTTTTTTTTGGCCATTACTTTTTAATGTTCTTTCCTTTAAAAAAATCCTTGTCATGCATTGAGATTATATTACACACAATTTGTCAAAGTATTTTAAGATTTTACGTAATTTTGAGTTTATTTTTTATTTGACTTCTACTATTTTAAGCAGTCATTAAAAATGCAGTCTCTTGGCTCCTGGGGTACATTGATGATAAAATTCACAATTTATGTTTATCTTTTACCATATTTGTTTCAGTTCAATACTAAGAAGAAAATTTACCAAATAGTTTTCAAAAAAAAGTTCAAAATATACAATTGTCTACTAAAAACGAACAAGCATATTTGCACTATAGGTTCCCTCTGGTGTCCTGAAAATTATTAATATCGTTGATGTATATATTAATTATTAAACTAGAGAAATGCCCTTGCATGAAGACTGTAGAAATTACATTCTGTACATTGATATTGGGCCTATATAAGCCAGCTAGTGTGTTGGCAGACAAGTTTAACCACACTGGCCTAGCTGCACGTTTTTACTACAAACGTAGGGGTTCATCTCAAATTTCTGACAAGATAGAAACGCCCAGTGAATAGGTGTAGAAATCGTGCAGCTACATGTAGGTGTTTCCTCCTAAACAAAAATGTGGTAGCCCATTAAAGGACTTGTTTCTGTGAATATACAAATGTACCTGTAGTTTAATTACTTCTATTCATATGTCGACTTGCACTTAAAAAAAGCATATGCATTGATGCCTCTGCATGATAGACTTTTTTGGCGAAGGTTGAAGCTTATCAAGTGCATGTCATAATCAGTCGCGATGAAAAATGTTATTACCCAAACAAAGGACTTGTTCTCAATGAATATACTGTGTACCTGTGAAAAATACCGGTAATAGCCTAGGCACTAACCAAACATTCATGGCCAAGTTTAAAGGTTTTCAAATGTGGGTCAAGCTCCAATGTCAAGGTCAAAGGGTCTGTGTAAAAACCGACTCCAGTCAGGGCAGGCGTTGGCAATACGAAATACAATGGCCGATGTGAAATATGAAATTTCTATACCAATTTTTCAAAAGGTACATGTTCTGGCCAAAGGTTATTTTTTAAATGAGGTCAACTCGATGGTCAATGTCAAAAATTCACAATTGGTTGGTATCCAGAGGAAATTTTTGTCACATGGAAAACAGGTGTGAAATATGAAATCCTAGCACCAATTTTTCAAAAGGTACATGTTATGGCCAAAGGTTATTTTTTTTAATGAGGACAAACTCGAAGGTCAATGTCAAAAGTTCACAATTGGTTGGTATCCAGAGAAAATTTTTGTCACATGGAATACACCTGTGAAATATGAAGGCCCTTGTACCAATCTGACTAAAGCCAGACCTCTATTTACACTATTATTAGGGCTGACGTTCAAAAATTTGAATTTAATGGCTAACCCTACCCTACGGCTGATTTGTACTTTTTTGGTACCGATATATTGTAGCGTAATTTTTGCCCGGGGGGGGAAAATTCTATGGTCAAAATTTAAAATAAAAGGAGATCAAAGATCAATTAATGAAATCTGACCATGATTTTGTACATATAAAGACAAGTTCAAGGAATTCTTGAAAATAATGTATATTTGTGTAGGAATTTTATTTATTAGGTGAATATATTGATTTCATGGAAAAGGAGCGAAAAATTGAATAAGCATGCCCGTTTGTCTGTCTGTAAAATGAAAGGTTAGTCTTATAAAATTGATCTTATTTAAATTTGAAAGATATAATGCTAATGTACGCTAATGTACGTTATTCTTTACGTACAGTCACGTAATATTTAGTAAACAAAGTAAAAAAAAAAACAAGAACAACAACACTCAAAACCCCTACCACCCCCCGGAATATGACCATAAATTTCGCACTTTTTTAAATGTTATGTTTTTATTTAACCTTTTAAATCTGATTCTTTATTTTTTTTAAAGAAATCATTCGACGCCTTTTTAAAAGCTTTTAAAACAAAAATTCTTCTAGAGGTCATCTTTGCTTTCACACTGAATTTCAGTATTCTGGTCTCATCCAAAGGACAAAAATCAGAATATTTTAAGTCTAAATTTTATTCAATTTTCTTACAAAATAGGTTTTTATAAATAAATATTTTCTATGATTTGAATTTACGTTTAATTTGATGAATAAGCGTTAACTCATAAATTAAGCAGGTTACATGGTAGAGTTTTAGGGTCTTAAAAGATTTTAAACACGCATGGATGTTAAAGTTGCAATTCTTTGAAAAGGGGTGAGAATTAAATTAATGACGTAATACATTTGCTAGTGCTGTAATTTCTATTCATTGGTTTTCATGTATATCTTAATTGTTAACTGTTCAGGAATAGAGACTCTGTAAAAGAGATACACTGTAAAAGTACTTAAAACGGTGCAAAATGTTGATCACATGGTAATATTCACATTAAATGCATGTCGTGCATGGATTTTTTTTTTTCATCTGTTGACTGGAAACCTTATATCTTTGAATTTTGAAAAAAGGCTGATTGCCTAAGTACTTTGTCATTTCATTTAGAAGTCCTAAAAAGAATGTTTGAAACCCCTTGTTGTTTCTGTGGATGCTTAAAGATAGCGTCTTAGATTTCTGTCTCCATTGCAATTTGCACAATTAATTCTTGAAGCAAAACTGTCAATTCAATTCTTTCTCAAAAGAAAAAATATCGAAAAGATTTCTTAAGACAGAACAAACCATGAGTTTTCCAAGCAAAAACTTCAGTGGATTGCTATTACGGTTCCGTTTGATTCATATCTTCCTCTCTGGTACGTCTATTCAAAAGAAAAGATTAAGTACCGTAAGGACTTATCTGTAAAAATATGACACCCTTCTAAAGAATTATAGTAACAGAGTTCAATTTTTGGCAGTATGTACATGTAAATGGGGAAAAGTGTAAACAAAATATGTATCCCTTATTTTGAATAATGACAATTTTTAAATTGAAAAAATGAAAGTTACTTTCAAATGCTCATTACTTTAAATTCAAACTGAATATTAGCGTTATCTTTTTAATAATAGAAGCCAATTTGATATATTTAACAATATTTTGATCAAAGAGAGTGTGAGGATGTCTTAAAAAAAGTGCGGTTTATTTGATCAGAAATCATTGTCTTAGAAATCTTTCTAACGCTTAAGTAAACATTTGTTATTAACATCGCAATATTAATCATAAATTATTATACTGAATACATTTTATTGAAATTAACGCCGTTTCTATAACAAAACATGATTTTTTTTAAGGGGGGGGGAACCAGGCTAATATTTGATTAATTTTGCATTGTAAATTTAGATACCTGTAGCTATCCTATCACACACAAATTGGTATTCTTTTAAAATCAATAACTAATCTTTGAAAAAAAAATATAAGCTAGAAAAATAAATAAATTAAATAATCCCCCCTCTTTCAACTATCATCGCAAGTTAAAAAGAAATTTGACTTGAGAAATCTCTACGACCAGGCGAAAATGTATGAGGAGGGATGTCTCTTTTATAAAATATAACTTTCAGCCGTAGGGTATGCCGGTCCATTAAACTCGAAAACTAAGCATCTTTTTCTAGGATTGTCACTCCACTATATGCAATAGCGTAAATAGAGATCTGCCTTTAGTCAGATTGGCCCTTGTACCCGCTTTTCAAAAGTTATGTCCAATGTTTTGTTTGTTTTTTTTTTTTAAAGTGAGACAAACTCTTAAGTCA